CCCCCCCCCCCCCCCTCGATCAAGAAGTCCAACCCAAACTGCTAGATCTAAAGGCCAAGACGCTGAGGATAAACCCATTAGACTGCGCAGCCTCCCCCGGCTGCTTTTCCAAGAAATTGTGAATCGAAGATAATAAAAATGTTCGTTTGAATTGTTTGGCAGGTTTGTTCAATTCGGAAAGACTGCCCTACCCGATAAGGAAAACCCTGGAGTAAAGCACATTCGTTACAACTGGTAAGCTTATCTCTTGAAGTACATTTATGATTATAATAGGAATTCTGTAGATCAAAACTGATCGTATCATTTAATGCCATATTAATGGTTTTCTAATAACTGTCGTATACTTAAGTCAAAGAAATTGTCAAAGAATCAAATAATCACAAGAAATGGAAATACAGCTCAATAAACCAATCACAATTCGAATCCGAAATGCGTAGCCGGTGGTAGGCGCGGGAAAATGCGCGTAATTCAATTCCTGATTAGTTGAAAAACCAAAGGTTGACTCTGACTGGACAAGTACTTTTTAACCAATTGAAGAGCTTGATAAATACAAATCGTTAACCAAACACATTAGTGGCAATTTCGATAGTCAATAGAAAATCGGTTATTTTTTCACCATTTAGGAACTTTATAACCAAATGGACGTTCATTTCTTCTTGGATTACGTACCTACAGTCACTTTGAAAAATCCACAGAACTTCGGCACATTTACTCAGTGTTTTGTGTTTGGTGTCTTAGGGCAACACACAAACCCTTCACGTTGGACTGTAATCACAAAGTCAGGCCTCCCACAGTGGACCGCCCGTCTGAAGCTCTGTACAAAGCTTACATACATGCTGGAAAAAATGGTCGTTTTTGGCCGTCACCGGTCAGCGTTGAGGTTTATAGGAAATACGTAAGCAAGAACTATCAGTAAGCAAACGAAAAAAAGAAAATCATCGACGAGTTTGCAAGAAATAGAGCTTTGGACGTAAGCAACCTCTTTCACTAAGAGTGGACACCACACTGAACTGTTACAGTGAGCAGTCTTAGACTGTCTTAGTGTGTATTTTTTGGAATTAAATGAACGTCTTCAGAAATCACATGACAGAATATTCAGTAGTGTCAGTGGAACAAGCACTTTTTGATTGTGACTAAGCCGTTTGCACGATCCGGTCACATGGTACGGAATTAATTACGCTGGGACGCAAGTTACACAGCGGGACTTCCAAAACAAAGGAACTCGTACCATTCCAGCTCGACTTTCCTTTGTTTTGAAAGTCCCACTGTGTAACTTGCGTCCCAGCATAATTAAATCCGTACCATGTGACCGGATCGTGCAAAGGGCCTATTCTGGTCTCCGCCACCGGACTGAGCCCGACGTTTTGTCTTGAACTTGTCGGG